TCCACAAAAAGTGGACGTTTTTGGCTCACACTTGAGGTTCCCGACTGAGCCAAAAATGCCCATTTTTCGCCCTTTTTGTGCGTTTAAACGCGTTTTTAGACAAAAAACGCGTTTACACGTATACAAAAAAGAGAAAAAAATTGTTGTATTTTTCGAGCTCAAGAAACACCACTGTAATCATGATTGTGCATCTCAGGTATGAAAAACACGACCACTTTTTCTCTTTTTTGTATGCGTGTAAACGCGTTTTTTGTCTAAAAACGCGTTTAAACGCACAAAAAGGGCGAAAAATGGGCGTTTTTGGCTCACAGTCGGGAACCTCAATTGTGAGCCAAAAACGTCCACTTTTTATGGATTTTAGGCTAATTTCTGTGCGTTTAAACGCGTTTTCTCAAAAGTTTGTCTGCCTGGGTAGTACGATAGTAACCACGACTTAGAATGAATATATTGATTATGGTCACGAAAAGTTAGCTAGTCATTAGATGCTTCAAAATTTTGAGCTCGCTTTTTGAACTACTTCTAACCGATTGTCAAAAACTCTCAACCCTTCGATACAATTCTTGCAAATTACTATATGACAAGTTTTAAAAGAGCTCTTTTATCTTTCTTAGTATTAGCGTATATGGAACGTGACGGACTAAAATACAACTTGTTACTATTAGGAACTTTAAGAGTTGTAGGGTGTGGGTGTCGGTGTGGGTGTGGATGTGGGGTGGGTGTGGGTGGGTGTGGGTGTCGGTGGGTGTGGGGTGTGGATGTGGGTGTGGGTGGGTGTGGGGTGTGGGTGCGGGTGGGTGTGATGGGGAAAAACTTCCTTCAACCACACCCACATCCTATACATCATATTATGTTAATTTTATCTTTGTTAACAATTAGAGGAAAACAGAAAAGTAAAAAAAAAAGATTTATTTGAGAAAAATGATATTCTCGAGAAAATATTTTAATTAAAATCTATTTAAAAAAAACAAAATGTGTCTTATATTTAATTTCTTTATTTTTATTTTCTTTAGGTGTTGTTAAATATCTTTTTGGTACATATAAAATAAAATATCATGTACATGGACTTGATCATGAACCTCTTGAAATTGATTTTACACCACCATATAAACGTATTTCATTGCTTAGTACTTTAGAAGAAGCTCTTGGTAAAGAAGATAAATTTCCATTAACCAGTGAACTTATTACAGAGGGTAAAAAGATTAGAAAAAAGAACGAAATTATGTCTACTAAAACATTTTTCTTTTTATTTCTTTTATAGAAGCAAACAAATTCTTTGATAATCTTTGTAAAAAACATCATGTCGAATGTACGCATCCAAGAACAACAGATAGATTAATTGATAAAGTAATTATAAAATAGGAGAAAAAAAAACAAAAATCAATAAATTTTTGTTTTACTATAGATATTAATTTAACAGTAAAATCTCTATTAGTGAACAATTTTTTGCAGTCCCTTTTGCTAAATAGAACCTATTGAATATAAACATGTTTTTTTTTCTTGATCTCTTTCTCTATTCTGTCACCTATTTCATATGCACTACGAGTACGGATATTTTGTGTATGATTCGACTGTTGAACATATAAAGGAAAGAACAATATCATGATACGAGTTTACTTTCTCAAGAAAAAACAAATTGACTAGAAAAATATAATATATCACTAAATTCTATTTCAAATATTTTAAAACATAAAACAAATCAAAATAAAAGTGTTAGAGGAGAAATAGAAGATATGAATGTATAAAAACTAGACGATCGAGTATATGAATGATTTCTATAGAAAGACATAAAGAAAACATAGTTCAAAAACAAAAAGACACACAGTATAAGAAAATTCTTGTTTAAAAACAATAAAATATTGTTTTGTACTTGAAAAATCTTTCAATTCAAATCATTCAGATGACAATAGATAAAAAAAGAGCATAAATAATAAAATCTTTATCTATGACTAATATAGAAGTAGATTTTCTGAAATCTATTCTTCATTTCACAACAAATTATGTTTCAACTCTTTAAAGTGAATACCTTTGTATAGTGAACAATTTTGAATAGTTCCAATCATATTCATAATAAAGAGATTTTACTGTATAAGTAATTTTTTTGTCGTCAAAATCTTTTCCAATTCAATAGAAGTAAAATTGGCAAATATAAAAAGAAATCTCTGATATCAATATGATCTCTTAAACTTAAAACATCAGCAGGATACAACTGCATATCAAACGATATGTTGAAGTTATTTCTTTATGGATATGTACAATGTCTTTGCAATAATTTTAACCTTTGACTAAAAGCATGTAAATTTCTCCAATGAATGGAAAGTAGTTAAGGTTATGACAGGAGGTAGTACACAGCATTAATAGTGAAACTAAATCAATTAAATATATCAAAGGAACTATTGAAAATGATATAGTCTTAGTTGTCAATACAAAAAAAGTACAGATCCGAATTACCCCTCGGGTCTGTATTTGTAGTCTATGATGAAAATAATACTAAAGAGTTTTCTATATCAATTGGACTATCTTAAGAAAGTAGCCTAAGTTAATATTTATCTGTAATAATTCATTCGTATCTTGTACAGCTTATACAAGGTTTTTCGATTCATGTAGTTGTTGACAACCTAAATATGTTCATTAGAGCATCAATAGAAAAGAAATTTGAGTTCATGTTATAGTTTCTGAAACACGAAAATATTAGAATATGCAATAAATTTTTAGAATATGTTAGGAGATAGAAACAACTGACAAACATCTCTAAATTAGTTTATCAAACATGTCACACACAAGTTAATCTACATTCTCTAACAGTATTAATGAACGATGTTCCAGTCATGTATGTTTGTGTGTGAACGACTAAATTGTCCATGCACAAATTGTTTAGAAAAGATTCAACAATCATACACAAAACTGAAATGGTTGAAACATAGTAGAATCATTTTCATTAGTCTATTTAGATAATGCTTTTTCCACATATTCATTCTCATTTTTTATTTGACTTTTCTACCTTTTTTGTCCTTTCTTCAGTATAC